CACTATAGAACCAACTAGCTTTTATGAAAAAGATGTATATGATTTATGGAAAAGATGGTTTGATGATGCCAAAGATGATCAAAATATCAGAAAAAAATATACTTTCTGATCACAAATTCATAGTTCAATCCTAGATTAGTCTATTTTGATCTTAGACCTGGTATGAATTGACATAAACCCATCATCAATACATTTTTTTAACTCATCATGACCCTTCATTGACCCATCTTTAACAAATTCTATGCTTTTCATCAACTCGTCACTACTCTTTATTGACCTGTTATTACTCTTCATTGACTCTTCAATCCAGCATCTAGTTATTTTATGATGCTTAAAAATATAAGGATACTGGAATTCCTTTCTACAGTACTGACATATCCTGTCATCTAGTTTTTTTTATGAGTTCTGGTTCTGGTTTCTTTTCTACAGTAAAGCATTACGCTAAGATTTGTAAACTGATAGGGGAATAATAATAGTCTTTTCATTACATATGCCTTAAATTCTTCTTTTATTAAAGGTTCTTATCCAGCTCGATATTACCATTGAGTACCGAGAATTACTAAAGATTTAGCATTTCCATCCTGATCCTTTTCTGCAGGCACAATAGAAAATTCATCTATGATAGAGGCTGTATTTTCTCCAGAACCAATTGTTATGGGAACATTGTCTATAGTGCTGATGGATATGGATTGACTTGCAACCCCATTAAGTCTATGAATTTTTTTCCTATTAATTTTAATACCTAAAAGCTCTTCGACAAGTTTAGCAATATTATATGAAAATATGGAAGAATCAGAGCCTGTATCAATCATTGCATAAGGTATTACCAAACCTCCTATTTTATAATAAATAGTCGCAATATTATCAGCATCCTTTATTTGTAAAAAATTTATCTCTAAGAGCATGGGCCAATATATTTGACTATTTTTTTTTCAGTTGAATAAAGTTGTGCATAAGTTTTAATAGCATGGTTTAGAGTATTAGAACTTATTGGTATTATATCATTCATAAGGTCATCTGATTCAATACCTTTGGGATCCTCTAGCTTCTCTTCTATCGGGACTTGAATAAGAGGTTTTTGCTCTATATTTGTGAAAACATCTATAATTTTATTTGTAACATGCCCCATACTTTTTCCCTTTTTATGGCAGTATTATCTTTCATAGCCGTATTTAGAATCTGATCTTTCAATTTAGGGTATATTATATTATTATATTGTGAGCCTTTCTTAAGAATTTCTTTAGGAATATGTTGTACAACTGATGATAATATAGATTTTAAGGCTATTAGAAAAACATAATCTATAATCATGGTTATAGGTGCTGAGGATTCTGCTTTTTTACGAGGCTTGGAAGTAGGGGATTCCTTCTTATAAATCTTTTTCATAGGTACTGCACTTCGTACCACTTTTTTTATAGCATAACAGTTTCGATCAGAGGTGTTAGAGTAGATCCGTCATCATCAACATGTTCATCACTCTTCTCAACTTCCTTCTCATCTAAGTATTCTATTTCTGGCTCTTCGAGATCTTCCTTCTCCTCAAGTATGTATTCTATTTCAGACTCTTCAGAGTCTTCAGTAGGTTCCTATGAGACTGAAACTTTCTCAGCATTTTGGTATACATAATTAACCTTTTTAGTCTTCTTAACTCCAGGCAATTAATCTTTGTATAGCCAGCCTTTTTACAGACTGAGTTAAGATGAATAACTTGCTAGGTGACAATTCGCTTAGCTTTAGGACAATTAACTTTTGTATAACCAGTATTTTCACAGGCTGAGCAATGACGAACAACTTGCTAGGTAATAATTTGTCTAACTGGTGGTTTTTGTATTACATTTCTAACAGCTTTCTTTATAGCATTTATATTTCTAACCTCTAGCTCTGAAAAGGGGCTTCTTCTAATATTAGATACTTTTCAACCTAACCTTTTACCAAGTTCATCATAGATATGTGATCCTAAGGTTGAGATATTCATTGCTACACCTAAATAATCCAAATCCTTTGCAAGACAAACTATAAATTCATGTTCAGCTTGTGAATCTTTTTGTATAGATGAATGAGATAGAGTTTTTTCATTGAAGGAGAAAATACCTACACGACAACCAGCTTCTAACTATTTATCATTAAGTTGAGTAAAAAAGGCATTTAGATCTACTGGATTTCTGATTTTAATCTGTAATTCCAAATTTTCAGGTAAATGACTATAAAGAATAGGTAGAACATCAGCAAATGGTAAAACATCTACACGTGGTCTAATCTGTTTTTCATATGTTTCTGGAGTATCAATAGAGAAAATTTATCAGACATAAACATTTTCATAGAAGCCTGTGCTAAACCTAGTTTTACTGCACAATATATTTCTCGAAGCCATGCTATAAATAATGCTGGAGTAATGATCGCATTTCCTACACTATCATTAAATATATTAGGAGGAGTGAACGTTCCTGCCATCTTATCTACTAATATATTAGTTTTTATACCATCATTAAATCTTACAACCCCTAATGAATAACCATAATTAATTGCCTGCATAACTTTATTATAATAGTAATCTGGTAGCTCTTGACTATTATATTATGATATTTAAGCTAAAATAGGACTATTGCATTAAAAACTTCTGGTATGGTAGTCATATTTCCTGGAGGATTTATTTGTAAATTCAAAATAATTTGTATCAAATTGATTTCTTTAGCCTTTCATTTTTGATATTGATTAAATACTCAAGCCCAGTTGAATTCTGACAAGTCAGCCTCAGCTTTGTGCCTTCGATTTATTAGTTAAAGGGTCACCTTTTCTTGTAATAATATATGGTTACACCTTTCTGCTCTTTGAGTTCTAAGCCATTATACCTGTCATTCCTCTGCTTTATTATTATATGCTAAAGTTAATAATTAAAATCTTCAAAGACATTCATTTTTAACATTTGACATATTATTCATAAGGTTATTGACTTGCCCATTAGCCATATTAAGCAAACCTTGATAATGTAAGGCCTCATTTGCTACCCTTTGTATATGGGTACAAACAGTTGTTAATATTATTCATATACCATTCAAGGTATTTTTAGGGTCAAATGATCTATCTCCATCAACATATAATTCAGCACGATCTATAGCTATAGTAATATCTCTTAAAAGTTCCGGTAATGCAATTGGTGAACTATTTATTTAGGATAATTTTTTATCTATAATCTCCCTAATTCACTTCTTAAGCTATTCAACCATGTCTTTTAGCCTTAAAATATGAATATCTTGAGCAGTGCTGGCATCACTTTTATGTTTTAAATCCTGCAATGCTTTGTGAAGACGCTGTTTAAGAGATTTGATCTCAGTCTTAAAAAACGCTATCTTATCTTCGTAGGCTAATATTGTTGAATCCTGATGAGATAATGCCTTATAGCAGATTTCTAGCTCTCTGCTAAGTGCTTCAAGTTTTTTATCCTTAAGTTTATTTTTGGTTATTTCATCATCCAATTCTTTTCGCAACTCTTTACTAATATCAAGAATTTCTATGTAAGCTGAATCTATGCTGATTCCTATTATTCTAATAGATTCGAGTAAAGCTCGAAAATTTGATATATCTATTGATTTGCAAAAGATTTATTACCAGCCTTCAGGCTATCAGAGGACTGCGAAAAAATTGTATAAAGCTTCTCTAAAAGCTGGATTTGATTTTACCTTAAATGAAGTGTGTAATTGGCTCAAAAGACAGGCTGTACATCAGGTTCATATGCCTCGCTCTAAATTTATTTAGTATGCCTCTTTTAATAATATTCAAGATTTGAATGAAGTACACAAATCTGACACCACTAAAGATGGTACAGCAATTGATTTCAAATTTACAAAATGTTGTAACATAAGCTAAAATTAGTTGCAACATATGTTGCAACATTATAAGTTGCAACATATATAGGTTAAAACTAATTGCAATGTAAGTTGCAACATTAAATGTTGCAACATATTAATTACAGTTCCCATCTTTAGACACCACATTCATGTCTCATATTAAAATAGGTAATCTGACTTATAAGTATAGAGGTATTATTAAAGATATAGCAATTAGACATCATTGTAGTTTTGCTTTGACTAATAAATCATCCGCACAAATAGCTAAAAATATTCAAAAAATTTATGATGACTCTAATGAACCTCTTTCTTGGTCCAATTGTTTTATTTCTGATAAAGGAACAGAATATATGGAAGAATGTAAAAGTTTATTACTTAGTCATGATGTGGAACTATAATATACTAAATCTAAGGAAAGCAATACTATAGCTGAACGTGACCATTAAGAATTTGAAAAACATGCTTATATTCAGCAAGATGCAAAGGATTTTCTACTACCTTTATCTTAAAGATCTAGAGATTGGGTTAGAAGTCTTCGTATTAATGATGATATATTTAATACTCCAATTTAATTAATAGACATGTCTCCCAATGAAGCTGTAAAAAAGGCCTTAAGAGGAGAGAAAATAGTTGCCAAACCAGCGGTAAAATATAAAAGGCCTATTGGATATGACGAACCTCAATTATCCTATTACAACTCAGTAAATATCTTCTTAAGCCTAGTGAACTAGAACATGGTCCTGCTAGAAGAAGAATTACTAATATGAATTGGAGTTAAAGATAGTTCCCATAATTATTTTTAATTAGTTGCAACTTAAGTTATAACACTTTGAGTTGCAACATTTTATGAATTTTTATATTAAAATAAATTTACAAGGAGTTGCAATTTGGTTGCAACTCAAGTTGCAGCTTACCGAGTTACAACTTCTTAATTATGGTACCCATCTTTAATTGGAGTCCTGAAATTTTTAATATTCAAAGAATTCTTATACAAAAAATTCAGCTGGTCTTATACTGGCTAATAGATGATAAGGGTAATGGCCTGAAAAGATCTTTTGTACGAGAAGAACTAATGTTGATTAAACACTGCAATTTACCTCTAAAATGGATATTCAATCAATAATTTACTGTATGTTTCTTTCAGAAAGTTAATTTTTATTCAATATTATCATTAGCAATTAGCTCTTCTATTATTTTGTCAATTTCTTCTTCAGCCATAGGTCGCTCTTCTTTAGATAATGTATAGAATAGACTGTACATATTTTCAATACTAGTAAGAAGTTCTTTTTTATTCTGATACTATTTTCAATATCTAGCCATCTTTCTATTATATGCATCTTCATTCAGAAAGAGCATACAGTCAACCCTTGATATAACGAATTTTATGTCCTGAACTTCAACTTCGCTATAGAGCTATAGTGAATTTTTTAAAGAATTTGATTGGCTAGTTCGTTATAACGAGGGTAAATTTAATATAGTTGTCCAAAAAATTCGTTATTTAAAAATTCGCTATAGAGAGATATGACTGTAATAGCAGTTGACTTTATATATTCTTCTGAGTCATTCGATTGTCGTAAATTTTTTATATAGCCCAATATATTCACTAACTAGTTTACTGTCTTTTTTATAATGAAGGCGTAATGCCTCTCTTATTATTCTGATTTGTGCCTCCTCAATTCTTTTCCATAAAAGATGACTCGCTAGAATATCACTCACTGGAATATTATCTATCATTGTATGCTAATACTAAGTCTTTGCTATATAATAAAATAGTTAGTTTAAATTGCGAATAAAAAATTCTAGAAAAAAAATATTATAATATTAGATTCATAGCTGACTGCTCATTTGAACCAAATTCATCTTCTATAAGCCCAAATCCGCCAATATTTCTTGAGGAATATTATTTTTATATTGCTTCAATACAGATAGGTATGTCAAAATTTAACAATCCCCAATTAGCCATGTTGTTATCCGGTCATTTAATATCCATCTCTTGAAGTCAAGTGGATTTATACTCCTTTTTGTCTATCAGATTATATATGGAACAAATCTTTCATATTGTAAGAAGTTTGCAGTTCAAAGCTTATCCTCTACATCCTCTAGAATACAATGCTCATAGATATTGATAGTTAGTTCTTTTTTGACGAGAGATTTTTGAAACCTTTTTATACTCATCTTCAGTTTCCAATTCATAAGACTTTGACTGATTTCCTGCATATCTTAATGTCTGAATTCCAGCAAAATCATCTTTCTACTTATCAATTACTTTCTTATTTTTTAGCTCACGTGATCCATTTGGATGATTTATCCATTGATCTGGCAGAAGTTTTTCAAGTAATTGATGCTCTTCAGAATAATCACTAAAGTCATAAAGATCTGCATTCTCAATCATGTCAGCATAGATGTCCTCAGTCTCAATTTCAATAATTAATGAGTTAGTATTAGTATACCACAATTTGGCTCGATTCTCATACTTACGCTTGATATGATTTTACCAGGAATCGTACTTGTAGAATTTACTAAGATCTAAAATCAAAGTCCTGACATAGATTGGCTTATTTAGTATAACATTCATCTGCTTTCGATGTACTGCTATAAGATTGCTTCCATGAAATATCTTTCGACCAACTAGTGCTTGATCTGCTAACATTTTGCGAAGCTGATGTTCCTCTCCTATTGGTCATACTAAATCTATCTGTGTGTGACGTTAGATGTCCTCCATAGTTTTTCTGAATACTACATTATTCATTAATTTCTATAGATCTTTTTCGAATGCATTTTTTGCATTATGACATCATATCGTATTAGCTGTAATATATGGTTTTAGCCATGGGATCTGATCAAATTCTAATACTTAATAAACATGCTTAAGCTCCATTCCTAGTTCAAGACATTGCTGGAGATTTTAGTAATGGATAATATAGCAGTCTTTAGTTTCTAATGTTGCTACCAATTTTTTCTGTCTCAGCGAATTTTCCACCACTCAGTTTATCAATTAAGTCATTATTTTAGTATGGACTAAGCTCATTTTGTTTAACTATCTGACGCTCTGGGTAGAGCAGATAGTTACTATGTGTTGGATGGAGCTTGTCTGAATATTTTAATTTTACTTCTCAAGCACTGCCTCGTTTTGCAGTTGGTGATATAGATCGTATATCCAGCAAATTATTTAAGTCGAGCCATTTGAATCCTCCTGTCAGTAAATATTGTGACATAGCCCATCCATATAAATTATTAGCATCTAAATATAGAAGCCATTTGTTGGCTTTTTGCTATTATAACCTTTTATTCTGGAAAAATTTGCTCTTGCTAAGCAACGTGATGCTATAGAATTTCCACCTCGCATCTAGCATTAGACAAATTCGTGCATATCTTCTTACCCTTTATGAAATAAATCAAGTTTAACCTTGGTTAACTTTAAGGCCATGTCTAATGTGAATGATGACAGTGTAATATAGTTCAAATGGTCTAGCCCAGATACTTTCTTCATTATCTTTCAGAATCGTTGAATAGAGTCTGCTAATATTAGAACATCAATTCTTAAATAAAAATTATGATAGTTCCCAAATGGTTCACACTCTGCTTTCTCCCATACTTTCTGTACATGGTCATATTGCTTCTGACTAATAGTGTAAATCTTCTCATGCTCACAATCATCGATTTCTTTTAAATCCTCTTCTTTACATTTTTCGTGTTCGTAATTCTCTTCTTTACATTTACATTTTCTATTACACTTTTACCTATTATTTCATGCTTATACTTTTTACACCCTTGCTCACAATAATTTAGTTTGCCTAGCATTGTGTTAAATTCTTTTCTTGATAGAAGCTCTGTTCTAGAGAAGTGCTTAGATTCATTTAATTCGTATGGTACTCATTTTTTTGAGCAAGTAGTAGTGTTATCTTACGATACTAATGACTGAAAATTAGTATTAACGCAAGATTAACAAGGGATTTAGCTTTAAGACTTT